GGGGAAGGGAGTGAGAACAAGTTGGAAATGACGCTTGGTGTTTAGCGCCACGTATTTGGCGGTTTAAGTATTCGTTGACCGAACGAGCTTTGTATCCTACCAACCTCGCTCTTCCGTTCTTGTCATACGGCTTACTCTTGCGCGTCACTCCGACGGTGGGGATATTCTCTCGTGTGTCCGTTTCACTCCACCCACCTGGGCCCAGCTTCACAAACGTGATCAACAGGGAGAAAGCTGAACATGTCGTCATCTTGCTAGCTGTGTAATGTCGGACTCTAAGACTGGAGTCAAAGCAGGGGTTCATTTTTGAGATGGCCAGCTCAGCTTTTGCAGCGGACAAGGGCCCCTTGAGCGACATTCTCTCTTACGCCGAGTGCAGTCAACGACGGGTGCGCTGCCTCCCCTTTTTCTCTTAGACTTGACTGAACTTGCTTGTCAGATGACCCAGTCAAGGAGTCAAGCAGAGCCCTCTCGGGCAAACGAATACGCGAGCGGCTGGGAGACCTTAAGCTGAACGTACGCCACTCTATATGCTGTCTCACGACTTGAGATACTGAGCTCTAGCTCTTCCAGCAATGCTTCGCATTTCGCTCGTACCACGCCTGCAAGCTCAAGGAGACCATGAGTCCCTAAAAAGCCCGACGTCTCGATATCGTTTCCGTACTACACTGGCAAGTGAGGTCCTGAAAGCAAGATCAAGCCCGGGGAGAAGACTGAGGACACTGTTGAATGCGTTGCGGGACTTATCCGCAATACTCGTGTCTCTCCACGGCGGACAGGTAGTGAGTACTTCTCGCCTTTCCGGTGACCACGGCTCACAGAAATATCACTCCTCAGAGATGCCAAGGACCCAGAAGACCTCGTCGTGCAACATGAGCAATTCCGACACTGTCGGTGTCATCGGAACCCCGGGATGCACTAAGAAGAACAAGCTCTCGGCTATCCTTTTCCCTCGGCTCGAGCCTCCACTACTTGCCGCTGCTCAAGGACCAGGGAACGCCGCTACCGCAAGCGCTATCTGGGCTTCGTTCTCACGAAGACACAAGGCGCATCGTCATTGCCCGCAGGTGCACCGCCAACTATATTCGCCGGCTCTTCGACAACCTCGGCTCCCCCGATATCGAATCGCTGGCGGTGCAACTGTAAAGCCGTTCGTCACGCACCAGAACGATCTCAACCTCGACTTGTACCTACGTATCGCCCTCGTGTCGTGCCTGGAGCGGCACGTCGTTGGCGGTCTGGACCAGGTGTACGAAATCTGGCCTGTGTTCCGCAACGAGGGCGTCGATTCGACACACAATCCTGAGTTCTTGATCATCGAGTTCGATATCAGGGACGTCATCGAGAGCCTGATCGAGAGTCTCCTGAAGTACTTCATTGGCGAGAAGACGACGCTAACGTTTCTCTCCGAGGGCACGGACAACGAGAAGGAACGTGAGCTGGACTTCAAGTGTCCATGGGCGTGATATGACATGATCCTGCGCGAGCTTTATCAGAAGGTTTGTTATTTCATCTATCGACGTTGTGACAAAATCTCAACGTCCTTTTGCAGCACTTCGTAGAGTGCAGCAAACCCGGAGGAATGTGCGCCTGCTTGACAAGCTCATCGGCGAGTTGAGCCTGGTCTACATCTCTCCCGCCTTCAACGGTAAATTCGTTTGCGTAAATCATGCCAGGGCTCTACTGACAGTCGGGCAGGTAATCGCCGACGGGCGGATGTCACCACTCGCCAAGTTCCACCAGTTGCAGTCCGGTCTTTGCAAACGTTTCGAAGGCTTCATGTGCCAGAAGGATCTGTTCAAGCAACGGTTGCGGTTCGAGGAGCGAGTGAGGCAGAAGGAACAGGGTGATATATCGACGAGATATTCATCAACTCGTACGTGTCATCTTAAGCTGCTGCGTCTGCGTTCCTTCGAATAATCACACCATATCAGGCTGCAACCTGGTCTCCCGCCAGCGAGCGGGGTATCGGTGTGGGCCGTCTGGTGACGTTCTTGACCGACTCAGCTAGTACGTGTACTCCTCCCTCCTGCTCTCTGCATTCTTACTGATCACCCGCCTAGACAGTAAGGAGAGATACTGTCGTTCCCGACGGTAAAGCCGGGCTCCACCGCGGCTAGCACTATAGATCCTGTCGGACCCCTTGAGCAAGTGTGAACATCCGTGGCGGTTCCATCCTATCCGTAAACCCTGCCCAAGGTGTGACTGGCCGCTAAAGCCGAATACTCGACGTCTCGGCGCTTAGCGGCGTCAACGGACCGAAGCGCTGCAATAGTGCGCATTGCGCAACATCTATACGGAAAACGCCTCGCTCTTCTCACGCACATCAGGTGGCCATGAGGTGGCAGGCTGTAGAGC